TGAAAACTGAAATACCTCTTCTGCTCCCCTTGGTGAAGTGCCAACTTCTGTTTCGCCAGAATCTGATTTTCAGCCTCTCATTTTCCCTCAGCAGATGCTGAAGCTTTCTGTTATGAGTCAGAAGGAGCCAAGATGGAAGCCTGAATACCAGCAATCCTGGTTCATGCTGTTTTATGTCTTGTAGGACATTAGGACAGGAAAATCTGAGAAGCAGGATTTTTACCTAGCCTTTCATCTTTGGACAACACAACTTTGCTGAAAAAGAGAAAATCAAACTCAAGGTACAAATGGTGATATCTGTCAGTGTGGGTCTATTACACAGAAAAGACAACCAATGGAAACAAGTCAATGACAATTATGACTATCGTTTTTCGTTTTTTGTAAAGTGGTGATAACATCTTCCTTCTCTAACTGAGAGATGTGAAAATATAAAGTAAGCTTTCTAATAGATTTTGACTGTCCAATAATAGGGGGGTAGATAAAATATGAGACATTTATATGCTGAAGGATGACAGAGTAATTATGAGGCTTCACCTAAATCCACATATGTCTTGATGTGTATGGATTTCAAAAACATAATGTTGAGTGAAAAGCAGAAGTTAGAGAGGGGTAGATACAGCAGACATTGATGTAAAACTAAAGCCCCCACAAGGGAGGATTCTGGAAAGATGATGGTGGAGGCAGCAGGGTCTTAGAATGTTTTTGAATCTCTTCCCCCCCCAAAAAAAACAACCTCTGGGTAGGAAAACCACAACCCTGTGGACAACATTTACAACAAAACTAGACATCTTAATGAGGCCCAAAATACAACTAAGGCAAAGATAAGCCACTCACAAGCATGAGACTTGTGGGTTATCAACATTGGCGTGGGAGACAGTAAAGGAAGGGAACGGGATGAACAGGAGAATCCCCCAAGCAGCCCATAGGTACTGATGACACAGGATGCTGGCCAATTAAAGAACATCAGCTGAAATTGGGAAGGGTTTTGCCCACTGCAATAGCAGATAAGTGCAAAGTACTCAAGGTTAAAAGGACTGAAGGGCTTGGGGTGGTCAGGCATCTCCAAATTCTAGAAACTGATCTGCCAGAGCTCCCTCCCAGGACAGCCTACAGTGAGTAGAAACTGCTGGGTTTGGAATCAAAATTAAGCTGGATAGAAGCAAAGAAAATCCAGACAAAAGTGGGCAGGGGAAAAGAATCAGGAAATCTCAGAATGCAAAGCAGCCATGTATTTATTTTTTAACACTACACAGAAACAGCGGAAGAAGGAGTTCTGTGCATTTGAAAATCTATCCTAAACTACTTCTCTTTCTAAGAGTTTTGGAAAACTAATTTCACATAAAAATGAGCAACAGAAATGTATCTAGGTCAACTCCCATACAAAGTTATTATAAGAAGAAAAAAACAAGGAACAGAATCACATCCTTACAGACAGCAAAAGCATGCCAGAAAATCATGCCAAAAAAAGGATTAAAACATAACAGTATCTCAATATGAGCTGAGAAGCATTAATAAAATGATAGAAGACATGAAAGGAAAACAGAAATCAGAACCTGAAAAACTCAGACATGGGCTAGAAACTCAGGGAAGAATACAAGATTATAAAAGAAATGAAGTCTAAATTAGAATGAACACAAGAAGAATGGCGTACAATACCTGACATTTTACAGGATCATTTTCAAGATAAAAAAATAAATGAAGTGACAAAAAGCATTCACTCCAGAGATAGGCAAAACCGTGAATACAGGTAGAGATTTAAAACATGGATAATAGAAATCCCTGAAGAAGAAAATCAAGTCAAGGAAACTGAACAAATACTAAGAACTTTCTTGAAATCATATTTAAAAAAATGGATTTGAAACCACATATTGAGAGAGCACACTGCATGCCTGAGAGCATCAATATTCGACACCAAGACATAATCTGGTTAGTTGACTAAATTTTATAGAAGAAAAAAAATCCTTTGAGCTAGGCAAAAACAGCAAGTGACTTGTAAGAAAAAGAAAATCAGATAATCATTAGGCTTTTTGATAACATATTTAAGATACTGAGGGAAAGAAACTGTGTGCCGAAGATTTTTATATCCAGAAAAACACTGACTTTCAAGTATAAAGGGCAAGCCAGCTTGTTACTGACATGCAAGAATTCAGGGAATATTGTTCCCATGAGTCCTTCCTGAGGGATGAACTTTAGACACCAACTCAACTCGAGAGACATCTGCTTAAGGGCTGGTGGTGAACATCAATCATAGAGTTGCTGGTGGAAATAAAACTAAATGAGGGTGAAAAAGGAAAGTATATATTGTATGTAATGGTCATATGCTCAAATAATATAGTACAATGATTAAAAGGGATGGCAAAACGGGAAAAGCATGTTCAAAAACAATTTTTAACTGCTCTCAATGATCATGAAATAAATTAATACTAGTAGTGTTAGAACTGACATACTGTTAAGTAAATCAGTAATTATGGGATATTTTAATTCTATCAATTTCCTTGTCCTGGAGAATCAGGACTTTGAGTGGGAAAGGAGGAGATACAGCTAGCTATGATATAGAAGAGACTAAGAAAAAAAAAATCCTGTAGTCTTGAATCTGAAGTGCCAGTATGAACTCATTAGATATTTTATCTTATAATAATATAGGTAAATGTATGTATGTATATTTTCTATTACTGTCAACTGAAGAAGCCTAGAGAGAATGACCAGCTGAGGAGCATACATTCCTATGAACCCAGATTGTGGTCTTCATACTATTTCCCACTAAAAGAAACTAGAGCTTATAAGAGAAATTACTGATTTCAAGCCGGGGGTTGGAAATGAACGAGACGGTCTAGAACAACTTGTCATCTATCAGTTTAGTGAGGAAGCTATCCAAGATACTTAGATTCATGTTAAAAGGACCCAGGAACTAACTGGAAGAAGTTCCTTCTGGTCAAAGATGAGACAATTAGAGCTTCAAAAGGATGATAATTGAAGTAGACTGAAACTCACCAAATGTGTATAAATTCATGAGTTCACAATGACAGTTTAAAGAAAACCAATTGACTACTTTGGGATGATAATACAAAGGCAGTGAATTATTTGAAAACT